TTATGGGCCTGTACCACCATGCTTTCCTTATTTTCATTTTTGTTACATTAAACTAAGTACATATGTTAAAAGTTGTCACACTCCTAAAGTATCTCCTATGTTCAAATTGGGGGTACAGTTTACATACTGTAGATATTACTGATAAATATACTTGGTTCTTTCATACCAGTCAGTGTTCAGAGTGTACTCATTGAGCTCGTTTCCTCAGTGTTTGTTGCGGGTGGATATCACACCTGTGAACGAAATGAATACAGACTGAAATAGATAGGGTTAGCTTTCTGACAGGTACATTTAGTTTTTCAAGGTGACTTTAAGTGTCAGTTAAAGTCAAGCACGAGTCTCAGCGCTTTTCCTGATAGATCTGCAAGTTGATTGTTTCTGCCATGATTCCCTCTAAAATTTGAGCAGTTGGTGCTCAGAAGTATGGCTCTGGGTTCATGGAAAATCTGCTCTAAATGTAAAATGCATTTTGGGGACGTGCTTGTTCTTTCCTCTTCCCAGATAACTCTTGTAACAACTGATTTATTATTCCAGACCATTGAAAGTTTTGCTGCCCAAGAAAAACAAATGGAAGTTTGTGAAGTATGTGGAGCCTTTTTGATAGTTGGAGATGCCCAGTCCCGGGTAGATGATCATTTGATGGGAAAACAACACATGGGCTATGCCAAAATCAAAGCTACTGTAGAAGAATTAAAAGTAAGTTTCTTGTAAGCATGCTTCTTAGTTTTAGCAAAAACTAAATATAATGTGCTTTCACATAGAAATATAAATATTGGGGCTGGCGAGATAGCTCAGTGGTCTGAAGCACCTGCTTACGGCAAGCTTAGGCAAAGCGCAGGGACCATGGTTTGATCCCTGGCAACACATGCCTCACCAGCCCTGCCCCTAGGCCACACACAAAAAAAGAAATGTAAATATCATTAATGTTTTTTATTTTTTTTCTTTAGTACCAGAGATTGAACTCAGTACCCTGCGCTTGCCAGGCAAGCACTTATTCTACTGGGCTATCTCCCTGGGCTCTAAATATCATTAATGATTTGCTGATATTTATTTGAAAAATTACAATCCCTATGAAATTTTGCTGTGTATCAAATTGTACTTTAAAGTACCAAAATTTGGGGGAAGATGACTGACGAATTAAGTAATGGTACGTTGTGCGCATGCATGGTGTTGGAATTTCTTTTTGAAGAC